GCATGAATTAAGAATTGGAACTAATTAATATATTTTATTCTCTTGTTAAATGTAAAATAATTTCTCTTTTTAATATTAAATGTTTATTGCTATTTCAAATATTTTGTCTACTGTATGCAGAGCCTCAGAGTAATAAAAGTTAAAGTATTTTATAAAATTTATAATACAACAATAATAAAATCACCTAATCTCTTTATGCTTGTCACTCGTTATGTCTAGTGGCACCACTACACGAGTGTAACCATGTCACAGACACAGAATCTCTGTGTGAGAATCGCTACATCAATATGGCGAAAAGCAGTCCCCCCCGCACGCTTGAGTTACCATCCCCTCTCGCCTAAACTAGGACTTTAGACTCAGTCCCTCTATTCCTTAGTCCGTGGTCAGAGCCAAAAGAATTGGCAAATCCTAAAATTGCCTAGGGATTTTATACAAACTGGAAAGCGCCTTCCCATATAAGCGTAGGAACATAAACGAGTGGTTAGACAAAGAGAGGCAGTGGAATTGTTTTCTCTTTTTTTCGTAGACTTATTAAAAGCCTTCATTTTTTATATACTTACATATGCTTTCCAGCAAAGGACACAAGTCGACACAAGTATCATTCTGTTTTTATTCGATATCCAATGAGCAACAGAGAGAATAATACTCTTATGTCACTAACTGAAAAGCACTGTATAGAGTATACATGAGTATACACATGTACAGAGTTCAGTGAAAAAAATCTACAACTGAAAGAACAAAACAATCCGAATGCTCTCTTTGTCTGACCGCATGAGTGCGGTTTTGAGCACGTGCGCTTTCCAGTTTGTATAGAGTTCAGTTAGCAAAGGCCTAGGCAAAGTTAAGATTGTCAAGAGCGTTTTAGGCCGGGTCTATAATAGGTGTAGTAAGCTTTAAGCCGAGAAGAAATTAACCAATCATAGTCGATTATTCTTCTGTGATTTATCTCTGAGTGGTCAATTTCTTACGCCTTAAAATTTACTACACTTATTGTAAACCCGGCCTTAGACAATAAAACGAAATTTTATTTCGGACTTTGCCTGAAAACAATTTAGATGAAGTTCGAATTGCTTTAAGATTGCCTGAAGCGATTTAAATAAATAAAAAATACATAATAAATAATAATATATATAAATAATAATAAATTATAAATAATAATAAATAATAAATAAGGTTTTATTTCAGACATTGCCTAAAACTCTTGACAATCTTAACATTGCCTAGACAATCTTGGGATTACCGATCCTTCGGGTTTTACCAGTAACATATACACTCAAGGACAAAAGGCTACAACACATTTTCTTTTAAATAAATTTCGGAACGCGCCAGAATCGCAGGACTGTCTTCGCGATTTGATGTATTCTCAAATAAAATGTATCAAAATGCAATAACTTGCATCTAATGCATCCTGAAATTTATCGAAATAAGATATTTGCTAATCTTTTTGCTATAAATACATTTTAATTACATTTTAATGCATTTTAATTGCAATCTAATATTTGCTGAAATACAATAACATGTAATTAACAGTTTTTCTGTTACAGACACAAAAATATGTATTTACTTTTTCTAATACGGGCACTGTTGACGTCGAGTACACATGGCAAATAAATATAGACGAACAGTATCCGGTGAGATTGCATGCAAATTATGTACCATCCACATCAAGATTACGAACAAATATTCGGTCTGGAACTAACTCGGTATATGCGCCTCATGAGCATTATGAGCGACATAATCCTACCCCCATAACGACAGCATTTGATAATGAAAACATGAAACTAAATCGTCAGCAACCACAATTCCGAGGTTAATTTTTAAACAATATTAATTTATTTTTAGAAAAATATGAAAATATATGTATAATACATTAATTCAGACATTGTACATTGTACATTAATGCAGACATTAAAAAAATGTCCGTAGGAAACGTTGACGAGATAAAACCAGGCACTTACGTTGATGGTCCATTTGATCTCTTCAGTAGCACCGCAGGTTTAACAGAACGAAGTAGCGATAGCTGGTTAGAGAGTGATGATTTACCATTTCAAATTTATCCCGAAAAGGGAATCTTGCTACCAGATGAATCCGTAGAATGCATCTTACAATTCTCTCCATTGGATGTATTCGATTACAAAGCATATCTTACATGCAAGTATGTATAATTTGATTTCTCTTAATTTATGCAGAGCTACATTACAAAAACTTTATACATATCGCACACCCGCAAGAAAAGTGACACAAGTCAAAAAAACAAAATTGTTCAGGAGAGAGGAAAGAAGAAAAATTAGGTTAAATTAGGTTAATAATAATGTTTCTTATTAACAATATTATGATTTAGTTTTTATTTCAAGTTAAGTTGCAAATTATAAATCGTCTGAAACAAGCTTGATTTTATGGAAAATAATTTCACATGTCTATACTTGGTTAAACAATCATTTTTAAATTAATTATTTATGGCAGTATTAAACATTACGGAATCACACAAAAAGTATTTGAATTCAGCTTCTAACACTTTTCCTAATTGAAAACCGACGTAGAACATAATCCGCACATAAAACTAAATTCCAAACATTTTGACTTGTGTCACTTTTCTTGCGGGTGTACGATATATGGAGTTATCCCAGGTAGCAAGATGTCGTCTATTTGACGGCATTGCTTGGTCATTCTTGGACGAACTAGACGTCTTAAAATGACGTCCAAATGTCGTAAAACTGACGTACTTTTGTCTCATCTTAATGACGTTATAAATTGACGTGGAAAAAACGTCATTATTTTCGAGTTATTGACGTCATTTCTACGAAGCAAGATGTCGTCTATTCGACAGTATTTTATAGTCATTTTTATGACAAAACAGACTTTTTAAGATGACGTCTAAATATCGTAAAACTGACGTGTTTTTGTCTTATCTTAAGGTAGTACTTGCGCGATTATATCTGAGAAAATCATATTTCTTAGGAATATTTTTAAATTTTACCTGCATATTAATAGAAATACTACCTACACATCTGTAAAGTTAGAAAAAGATTGACCGTACCAAAGCTGAGATATTTATATAAAGTTAAAGTTAGCACTTTTTATACGCATAAAAGTATATATTATTGGTATTATTATAACGTTATAATTATTATAACATTATAATAATATTAACTGATAATAATATCGTTTATTATTATGAAATTAAGAAGTTATTAATGACGTTGATAACACGATCAAAAATAATGACCTATTGTCGACATCGATTATAATATGTTATAAGGTAGTACTTGCGCGACTATACCTGAGAAAATCATATTTCTTAGGAATATTATAAATACGTTATAAAATGGTAAAAAAACTAACGTCATTAATAGATCAAAAAAATGACATCATTATTACGTCTTAATTTGGTAACATGACGTCCGCGACTTCAAATGACGAACTATTAACGTCAAATAGACGACACCTTGCTACCTGGAATACATTTGATATATGTATAAATCATTTATATAAATATTTATATAAATTGAGAAGATGGCCTTGTGCTCAGTAAACAAAATGTTTGCAATGTTGGCTATCTGGATAATTAAATTTAAATATTTTTATTTATTAAATTGTAAATTTTGTAAAAAAAATAAAGGGATATTAAAAATTTAAATAAAATTAAGAATTTTTAATGGATTATTTGTATCATGATATATTTGCATTTGCTTATTAAATTTATCTTATCCATAAATTCTTGATATACATTGATGATTCTCTGATATACAGGGTGTTCCAAAATCTCGGAACCGTTAAATATCTCGAAAATAAAGCATTTTTAAGAAAAATGTTTTAAATAAAAGTTGTAGGGTTTTAAGTGGCGCATTAAGTAGCAATGGTAATATGACTTTAGCAATGCTATTTAAAGTAACACTAACATTGTCACTTAATGCGTCACTTCCCAGATAGGAAAATGTATGGATTCTGAGGTTATATTGTACTCATATATCTCACAAACATGAGGACAAGAATGGACACAGATGCGGGCTCAAATGCTGCTCAGAACGCAAACATCTCATGATATCCATAAAAGTGCACAAAAGAATGACATATGAGTACATGCATGAGGTTCAAGCTAATATTGCATTTTGTATGTCATATGTAGTTCAGAACATGACGACAATGTATATTCGCATTTATTGCAATTTATGAGTTTATTTTACGATTATATTTTTGTGATATTTAGGTTAGATACATGAATAATTAATAATTATTTTATAAAGTATAATATATATATATTATAAAATATTTAATAATATATTTTAATATTTATAATTAAAAAATAAATAATTAAAATAAGTATTAAAATAAATATATTTTAATATTTCTAATTTAAAACGTTGTCGTCGAGAAGCATGCCCTTCCTTGATGAACGTTTATCAGAAGAGGAAGAGACCATATAGTGCTATCGTCCGTAATGATCCGTATCCGATAGATATATGTTAACGGCTATTTCGCGTGATTTGAAATAGTAATCTAAATTACTTCAGAAATGTTAAAATCAAAATTTATAAAAAAAAACTAAAATATGTATGTACTCAGTCAGCAAAGTCTATTCGAACAGATATTGTCAAACGTCTGCTACAAATTTTTGTCAGCAGAAAGACTGCAGATTATATACAAAACCTGTTACATCAGATGATGATAGCAGAATATCAGCAGAAATGTTACAAAACCTGCTGACATAATTTGACAGCAGATCAATTGCAGAAACCGAGCAGGATTGTTCGGAATTATTACAGCAGATTGGCGACAGAAACCGAGCAGGACTTGCGCAACGCAGTTTGATGTCAGATTGGCGGCAGAAATCGAGCAAAATCTGCGCAGTGCAATTTGATATTGTTTGCCGTTATGCAGCGTGTTTCTTTATATATAAACTCATACTCAAGATTCATCTACAGTGCATATAAAGTGTGGCCAGTGGCTTAATTAAGTTTATCAGTTTAATACAATAATTTGATACAATCCTCATAAGAGATTCAGAATATTAAACTAATTTTTAAAATTGAAAATCCGCCACGAGTTGATCCAATATTGCAGTGATTTCGAGATTTGGCCTAATAAATTTATTAAAACATAAGTATTTTTTTGTCCCAATAAAGCAAATATATATTACATACTTTGCATATCTCATTTACTACTTTTAATAAGCGAAACAAGAAATGTAAAATTGTAATAAAGTATTTAAATGCCGCTGTTCTATTTAAATTGTGATGGCAGGTTCTGCTCGACGTTTCTGCCGACAATCTGACACTGCACAGATCCTGCTCATTTTCTGCCGCCAATCTGCTGTCAACAGGTTTTGCCGGCAGAATACGAGCTTAATGCGGACACAGATGGCACCGTATCTGCTGCCAAGTTCTCAGCGAATCTGCTCGCAAACTGCCGGCAGGCTGCTAACATTTTGTTGACTGGATATGTATCACTCCGACATTTTATAAAGGTAATATTCTGTATTTGCTGGGATGTCTAGGAAATACAAAAATATTAATATATTATTAATTATTATTAATATATATTAATCATTGAAAATTTGATAATATTTATTAAAATATTATTTCAAATTTAAAAATGTAAACACATAAAACACATTTTATCATTATGCAAAATGGGTCACAGAGATCATGCGCTTCCCAGATAGTACAGTAAATTCGCAAAGTATTCTTCAAGTTTTCTTCTTTCTTGCATTGTAATTCTTTAGGAATTCATAGAAGAATACTATAAGAATGATTCAGGAAGTTACATGCACCATAATTGGAATTCTTGAAAATTTCTTGGAGTATTCATACAGGGTGTCTGGCAATAATCGCCCCACCGGTCATATACAGGTAGAGGAGGTCAAATCGAGTAGAAAAGTCCTTTACCATTTTTTAATTTTCATAATAAGTACTGAGTAATTAACGAAAAAAGATCGGCGAATCCGCGCGAGTAAAGCGCGCGCGGTGAGAAGGACGTCCCACTGCTACGCGATCACTAGGACACAAGGATCTAGCGTTACGCGCCGCTCGTATGTTGCCATTGTCATTTGTAGAGCGCTCCTCCCAACGCTTCATCGCGCGCCTAGTGATCGCATAGCAGTGGGATGGCCTTCTCGCTGCGCGCGCTTTACTTGCACGGATTCACCAATTTTTTTCGTTAATTACTTAGTACATATTACAAAAATCAAAAAATGGTAAAGGATTTTTCTATTTGATTTGACCTCCTCTACCTGTATATGACCGGTGGGGCAATTATTGCCAGACACCCTGTATAGTATTATTCTATACCAACAGATATGTATACTTTATGAATTCAAAAGAAATAGTTTTAGAATAAATAAAGGATTACAAAATACTTAGTAAACACCAACTAACAGTAACATTACACCAATATTATAATTTCACTCAACATCACTCAACAATATAAGTGCACTATGACATGTTGTATATAACAATTACATTGTTGAGTGGCGAATTATAATATTGATGTAATATCATTGTTAGTCGATATGTTTAGTAAATATATTAGTAACAATTATTGGAAATATATAATAAATGAATCCAATTCAACCGTACTTATCATTCAATAAATTGTCCGTGGATTTTCATAATATATCGCCTTTTTGCTTTTTATAATACATATATCGTTTGTTTATGCAGAAAAAAATATTGCACTTAATGTTGGTAGCACACACAGCGTGACAACTACACGAGATAGGTCGGAAGATGCGCAGAGCGTTTTGCGCGTCACATGTATACGGTTCTCGTTTGTGTGCGCGGAGGCCGCAGTAAACGAATCTACCCAGATAGACTTGTATGATTATCACGATATGCAACATTAATTTATTGAAAATTTAGAATTATTGTATTATTACTTATTATTATTTAAAAAATAGCAACTTTTACATTAAACTAATTATAAAATTTATGTCATGCAATTATTTAATTTTAATGTCATACTGCTGTAGCACCATATGATATAAAGTTATTTTCAGATTATTATATTACATTTACGACATCAACTATGCAAAGCATTTACATCATATGTAATTAAATTCAATACATTATGTAATGATGCATTTTAGCAACATTATGTGATGTCAGCAAATGTGAATAAATTTATGAATTGTTTCTTTATTTTTATGCCGCATAAAGT